CAGCTTTCATGCTTAGCAAGCATAGTTAAATTTTCTTTTTCACCCACCCTCCCACCCGGGGGGATAGCTTCCCGGCATCGCCTTGCCCAGACAAAGCTTCTGCCGCTCGAACGCATCGCACTTCTTTGCACCTCCCGCGAAAAAAGAGTGAGTGCGTTCCTCCATGTGAAGCATCTACACTAGAGAACGACTGGTTTCCGCCAACGGCAAAAAGAAAGGGGCGGTCCGAACTGCTGCTTCGTTGTTAGTCCTGTCCCCCCTTTTACTTCAAGCCCGGTAGCAAACGGAAGCTTAGCTTGAAGGGGCCAAATCGAGTTGAGACAGGGTGTTAGTTTGGATTCAATGCAATGCTAGCACGGGTCGGTATTGTTAGTAACACGTCTCCTCAATGATTATCGTATACTGAACACCGGGGCCCATACAGCAGATCCAAGGTCATGGCCCCAACAGTGCTCACGTCGTGTGTGTGTCAGGATCCATGATGGCACAAACTTTACCTGCATTGCGCTGGTTGGTTCTCTAACCGCCAAACCCTAAACAGCCCAGAAGCCCTAAACCTTAAACAAATTCGGAACATGTGTAGAAGGAGGCCGTTGGACGACGTTCCATGCAGTGCGAAGCTTTTGGTTGAACGTGGTTTGGGATCGCAAACATGACAGAGTTGAGGGTTCTCGGTTCAGGGATCGGTAAAACTGGGAAGATTTCGTGCTTGTACTTTGCAGATTGTTACATACCTTGGGAAGAGGCAGTCATGCAGATGACAGCAGCAAAAGACTGACGTCCAGAATCATAAGCTTAAAAGCAGCTTAGCCGTACGGACTGTAACAGTCTGAGAAGCTGTCTTCTTCGACTGTAGTATTCAGTTATCTACCATTGTCGGCAAGGGGATTCCGTCGAACCTGCTCGAAGCACACCAGCTAGCAATGGCAGAGAATGTAGCGGACGAATGCAGATCGAACCATGCAGGCACAATTCACATGTTTGCAATTAGCAATGACTGGCACATCAGCGAGGGGACACACTGCAGAAAAAAACACATGTCCCCGGGCAATTGCAAAGTCCAACATATACATCAGTTTTCAGACATCAAGACATCTATTTTTCACTGCACGTGCCGGATGGCAACTGTTGTGGCGAAACGTTTCTAGCTTAAGAACGCCATTCAGCTGTGTTCATGGTGGTGATCACACCGTCGCAGCCTCCTGCAACGGTGCACCCTTGATTGTCATCAGGTGGTCGTTGCACCTGTGTTCTAGCCCCAAACAGGGCGGTCGTGGGACTAAGGTATGCGCTCCTGCAGAAGGCCAAGCCATCCTGGAGCGCCAAAGACCTTCAACGAGTTTATCAAAAATTGCAAAAGGTTGCCATCACAGTCTCTTGGCTGCAAGCAGGGTTGGTGTGCTACTTTGCTATTTTCTTTGCAATAAGTCTGAGCCTTTCGTGAACACGGTTTCTTTTTGGATAGCCAATGCGAGAACTCTAAATTTGACCTTACATATTCGGGGCTCTTGAAGAAGAGAGTTTTAGGTGTTAAGGATTTAGAATGTAGGGTTTAACCTTATGAGCAGAGACCGGTATTGAAGAAGAGAGTTCAGGGTTAAGGATGTAGGGTTGTGAATTTAACACCCGGGTAGATCCCCTAAGCTCTTGTGAACGGCAGTCCTGTGACCGTGAGCGCATGAGGACGGCGAGTCCCTGGCACGGTCCATCTCCGAAGGCTGGTACCATAAGACATCTCTGAAACCTCAAAGACCTAAGCCCTAAACCCCTAAACCCCCAAACCCCTAAACCCTTAATCCCCTAAACCCGCAGACCCCAAACCTAAGCCCCTAAAACCACTGAGCCGCTAAAGCCCTAAACCCTAAACCCTACTCTAGGAAAAAGTAACCCGGCGGATCGAAATCCCAGGAAACTAGAACAGGGTTTTTGGGTATGTAATGTGTGATACTGTAACTGCAGTGAGGAACCTCCACAATCGTCTTAGTTATTATATAGGCTCCTATCTTCAAGTAGCTCAGTGACGAGAAGTTGTGGAGTTGCGTCTGAGTATGCTCCGCATGTCCCTCACATCAGATTGCAAACTTTGAAGCCCTCAACATCCAAAACCCTAAACCGTAACTAAACTTGCAGCCCCCCAAAACCTAAGCTCCAAAATCCTAATAGCTACAACCCCCAGCCCCCAAAACCTAAACCCCCAACTCTTAAAACCCCAGCCCGACACTCCGAAGCTCGAGACTCTGACCTCCGAAGCCCAAACCCCCTAAACCTCAAACCCCAAACTCGGAAGCCACCCTAAACCCTAAAGCCTAAACCCCCAAAGCCTAACCCGTAAGCCCTAAGCCCTAAAACTTAAGCCCTAAACCCTAAGCGCTAAACAGCCCAAACCCGACGGCCGACGCCAGAGGATCTTTGAACCCCACGCTTGCGGCGGCTGGCGAGCGGAAGCTCAAGTCATCGACCCTGGCCTTTCTGAGGACACGACTCATAGGGTCCCTAAGAGGGAGGTTTAGGGGTTTTTAGGATTTAGGGTTTAGGGTTTAGAGGTTTAGGGCTTCTTTAAAGGACGATGGTTCCGGGGTTCTTAGTTCTTGTTTTTTCGGGTGTATGGTCTAGGGTTCATGATTTCCACAATTGGGTTTAGGAGTTTCTGGTGCGTTAGAGTTGAGCAATTTCTGGTGGTTTAGGTGTCGTCGTTGATCTTAATCCTGCAGAACCCCAAATCCACCCCGGGTGGTTGTGGTCTCCCGCCTGGGAAAAAGCCGGGGTCTCTTGACAGGTTGGCCGTGCGCGATCCGGTGCGGACGCCCAAGGCGCTCGCAGAGTTTCCAGCTCTTATTTGTCGTCCCTATATAAGTATAGCAGCCTTGACATTTTGATGCACTGGCCCCTAGCGTGAAACACTTCAATATACTTCAATACCCTCAGCTATAAAGTATCCGCAGCTAGAAAGGCTTCTACATCATGCGGCAGAGCATAGAAAGGTAATACGATTCCTTGTGCTGAATAGCTTTCCGTTGTGCTTGAATGTTGGTTTTGTCGCAGTTCATGTCGGCAAAATACCAGGAGAGCGTTGATGAATACAACGCGCGGCAGCACGCTATGCAGACCCAGCTGCCGCCCCTCGTCAGGTTTGTTTCGATGACAAGTTTCCTCTGCGTTGTACGTCAGCTCCTGTAACCAGTATTGAATGACAACATACCTTTAATAGGATCCCTCTCCTTCTTATAAGGCCTTCCAGGTACATAAGTCACCACCAGTTTCCGAAACCCATGCCACATAACCCTAAACCCAAACCCTAAAGCCTAAAGAGCTTTGCGGAGCGATGGTAGGCGGGATTCGCAGTGTTGTAGACCTTCGACCCCCGATCAATTAGACCCCTTCCCCTGTACAAGTATCATAATCGGGATCCCAATATTAAGGGCCCTTGACGAGAGGGGAATTTATGAATCAGGGGTCTACATAAGCGGTGTGGTGGTGATGACATATACCTTTTCGCATGCTGACGTCGATGCTGACAGTGACAGTGGCGAGTCCTGATGATGGTCGTAGGGATGACAAGCCAGACCTTATAGTATACGCAAGCGTCGAAAAGTTGTATACAGTATATCATAAACCTCAAGTCCTAAACTTTAAACCCTAACCTAAACCCTAAGTCCTGGACCCTAAACCCCTAAACCCTAAATCCGAAACCCCAAGCCTTAAATCCTGAACCCTAAACCCTAAACCCTGAACCCTAAATCCTGAACCCCTAAGTCCCTGAGCCCTCAGGAGCCTGGCTTCGAGTCCTGGTCCTGCAATGCTGATGCCCTCCAAAAGACCCTCTCTCCCAGCTGCAGCTACTTGGGCAGGCTTTTTCGGGTTCCTTTATCGGGTTTTAGGGTTTCGGGATTCGGATTTAGGGTTTCGGGATTATGGTTTAACGTTTAGGGATTTGGGGCTTGTGTAGGGGTTTAGGCTTGAGCGTTAGCGCGCTGCAGCTCCTACGTGCGGTGTTGAGGCTTAGGGTTCCTTGAATGGGATCCAAGGATTCCAAAGTTCTTGAAGGGAATAGGTTTCCCAGGTTCTCGCGTTTAGGGTTTGGGGCTTTGGGTTTCAGGTTTTGAGGTTTCAAGTTTTGATGTTTTGAGAGTTAAACAGGTTTTGAGGCTTTAGGCTTTGGGGCCGGAGGTTGCAGAGGTTTCGGGTTTGAGGGTTTTCAGGTTATAGGGTTTGAGGTTTCAGGTGTTTGAGGTTTTCGGGTTGGGGTTTCAGGCTTTCAGGTTTTAGGATTTGGAGCTTGAGGGTTTTGGGCTTCGGGTTTCTGGTTTTGAGGTTTTAGGTTTCAGAGCTTTGGGTTTCAGGTTGAGTCAAGGGTTCAGGGTCTCAAGTTGTTTTTTAAGGTTTAGGAGAGTATGGGTTTCAGCTGCTTTACGGTTCAGGGCTGAAGGTTCAGGTCCCTATACCCTAAACCACAACCCTCCTGAACCCTACGGTTTAGGGCGTAGGGTTTTGGATCTTGGGGTGGTTTTAGGGCTTTGGGTTGGTGTTGAGGTTGTGGAGTTTAGGGCTTTTGAAATTTCAAGTTGTGAGGGTTTAAGCGTGTAGGGCTCAGGGGTTCAGGAAGCGGATTTTTAGGGTGTAGGGCCAATCGTAACCCAAAAGCCCTAAAACTTAAACCCTAAACCCCAAACCCCTAAACCCCTAAACCCAAAACCCTAGATTTTGAGGTTTTAGGTTTTCGGGTTTCATTTTCGAGGTTTTAGGGGTCTAGGGCTTGCAGGTGTCAGGTTTCATGCGCAGTACAGGCTTCAGGGTTTCGGGTTTCAGGTTTCTGGTTTTGAGGTTGTAGGGTTTTTGTCTTCAGTTTTTGAGGTTTTAGAGTTTAGGGCTTGGGGTTTTAAGTTTTCATTGGGTTTTGGGTTTTTGAGGTGTTCAGGGTTTAGGGCTTAGGGTGGGAGGTGTTGAGGTTCTTAGGATGTAGGGTGTCGGGTTTTGCGGTTTCAGGGTGTAGGGTTGAACACATATTGTTGCTGAACTGTTCGGAGCTGGGAAGTTCCATCTGTGAAGTGATGCAGCACCGATGCAGCTAAGCATCAACTGCCTCCCTGTGGAGCTTTGTGTTCGAGATGTTCATAATGTGCCGGGTAGCTCTTTTTCACTGCTGTGCTGATGGCGGGTTGTGGGCTCCTTGCTGCTCAGTCTCGCTGCGAGCTTTCCGCCCGATCTGGGAATGGCGCTCTAGCATTTCCTGCGCAGCTTCAAGGGTGCACCTATCGGCATAGCTCGCCGGCCAGAAGGCGTCGAAATCTTTACGGCATAGAAAGCTTCGGGTCGTCAGGGTTGTCAGGAGTGTCTTGTCAAAGAACGCAGTCGAGCAGAAAAAATGGTGCAGAGCAGCGGGGGTGGCAAAGCAACCGAGACGTTTTCTTTTGCGAGTGGTTTGGAACAGACCGTGGCATCGATTCTTGGTCAGGCTGACTTGAGTTTCAGTGCTTTTTTCAGAAGCAGCCGTGCGAGCGCTCAAGGCGCTGCTGGCGCAAATGGCAGAAAGCGGGACATCTTCCCTCTCCCTCTACCTGACCTTTGGCCCGAGACGGTTCCTTGCCAGGCGGCTTTGAGCTCTATCCGCCTGCTGATTCTGCAGTGCTGTCTGTGTGCTTTGAATTTCTTGGCGGTGGATTTCAAGGCACATCGTAGCCAGCTTCCCAGGTGCAGTGCTACTGCAAGTCAGCGCGCTGTGATAGATCACGTCGCTTCTCGTTGCTCTGGTTTTCTGGAACGGCTTGCTGCAGAGTGCCCGCCGGACTTTGATTGGAGCAATGCCTTTGCCAAGTATGAGCTTGCAGAAAAGTCATGCGATCTATTGCTCAGTGCGGAGGCCGTGGACCTCCCCGAACAAGCGGGAACGTGCGACCCAAGTATGCTGCTTTCGGAAAATTTGCTCCAGCCGTTTTCGGATGTGCACTCGCTTTTTTCGGGAGATCTTCTACACACGCTGCAAACGCCGGGCCAACCGGCAAGAACAGAACTGAATACATCAAGCTGGTGCTTCGTCAACTGGATTGTGGAAAGGTGCGACTGAGACTGCGAGTTCGTGCGGTGGCTGACGTCTTCCCAGTGTCGAAGACTACACCGGGCAGGCAAAGAGAAGTTTGGAATGGATCGCTCATTTCGGACACAGCTGCGCCGCCACCAAAGCCAAGGTTTCTCGCAAAACCTGCCTGTTTGGTTGACATTCATGCAAACCGCAAGGAGATGTTGTACTTTTCAAAGCGCGATGTCAGCACCTGTTTCGATGTTATCCAAGCACCGGACGCAATGCAAGAGTGGTTTGGGCAGCCGGCTGTCACCCTTCGTGAACTTCGACAGTTCAGTTCCAAAAGTTTGGCAGAGCTCATTGCTTTCGTGGTGGATAATCAAGATCGTCATGTTGCACTTGACACGAAACTTTTTCCTGCAAGTACTGTTTGGCGAATGGGCTTTAGCTGGAGCTCTGCTGTGGCGCAAGATTGCACCGTGAGTTGCTGTTTGCAAAGTGGGGTGCCAGAGACGGCTTTTCTTTGTATGGAGCAGCCTCTTCCGATGGACCAATCAGACTTGTGTGGAGTTGCCACCGATGACACTATCTTCGTGCACCGGTCCCAAGCACTTGCTCAGGAGCGTTTGGAAATGCTGGATGCTGCAATGAAGAAAGCCGGCATGCCTAAGAATACCGCTAAGGATGTCAACTGGGATTCCAAGATGGCTGCTTTGGGGTGTGAGCTGTTGTCACATCCACCTGCTGTCGAACCAAACTCTGGCAAACTTTTCGGGCTCTTCGCGGCTCTGGTTGGAGTGCTGCTGAACCGTGCTGCTTCGCCCAAGGCACTCAGCAGAGCACTTGGAGTCGCGCAGTGGTTTTGCTTACTACAGCGACCCATGTTTTCAGTATTTGACAAGGTGTACGATTTCGTTCGGGATGATGCTCAAACTGCACCAGTTTCGTTGCCGCAGGCCGTCAGGAATGAGCTTGCGGTGGCTGCTTTCTTGATGCCATTATTGGGCGCGGATTTGTCCCGCGATTTCCTTTGCAGAATCACCGCTTGTGATGCGTGCCCAGAGTTCGGCTTTGGGGTTGCCAGCTTGCGGTGCTCGAGTGAAGTGTCACGGGAAGTCAGTCATTTGGCTGAGCGCCATGGTGATTATGTGCGCCTTTACTGCCGCGCAGGTGATCCTGCTGAGAAGGATCGCGTAGGCAAGCCTCACAGATTGTCCTTTGGCCAGCAGGATTTTCAGTGCATTGTCAGCAGGCGGGCGCGCTGGAAAGCCCACTCTGGCATTCTGGAGGCGCATGGCCTTCTGCTCGCAGTGAAGTGGCTCGCAAGGTCTCCCAAGAATCACGGTGCCGCTCTTGGTGGACGCAAAGGCTGTTCTGGGAGCTGTGAGCAAAGGCCGCAGCTCAGCACCTGGTCTGCGTGGTGTGTTGCGGCAAATTGCGGCTCTTTCAATGGGCTGTGATTTCCTGTTGCGATTGGTGTACATACCAAGCGAGTCGAACCCTGCTGACAATCCCTCCAGGGGTCGGCGATCAAGGCATGCAGGTTCAGAAAGCGGATGAACGAGATACAGAAGGCTCTTCTGACCATTGACCCGCGCTTCTTGTAAGAGGACGTCGTTTTCACTGCTGCATGCATTTTTGACACAAGCATGGCCGCCAACGCTCATTTTTTTGACGCTGGGAACGAAGCGGGAAGTGAGCCTTGTGTGTTCACAACTCCGACTTGCTGCGGGTGGAAGCATGGTTCTGCGTTGAAGGGTGTGGGCCACCGTGGTTCGGCCCCTGCCACGAGAAATAGCACTGTTGCATGCGTACTACACACGCACGGCCATATCTTTAGCTATGGCCAGTCGCCAGTGGATTGGGTAATTTACTTGGAAGTTTTCTGCAGGCACAGACCGTACAGCTCAAGTCTTTGACAGATGTGTGCCTCAGCGCTTGCTAACACCGAAGGGTGTCGCAGGTGATCCATTATATACCTCTGGTGGCTCGTGCTGAATTTCATGTTTGGAAAACGAACGCTCACGTCAGAGGCTTAGCGGAGAAGTGGCAGGCAACAATGAACACATATTGTTGCTGAACTGTTCGGAGCTGGGAAGTTCCATCTGTGAAGTGATGCAGCACCGATGCAGCTAAGCATCAACTGCCTCCCTGTGCAGCTTTGTGTTCGAGATGTTCATAATGTGCCGGGTAGCTCTTTCACTGCTGCCCAACCCACCCGGATAGACTGGGTAAACTACTCGGAAGTTTTCTGCAGGCACAGACCGTACAGCTCAAGTCTTTGACAGATGTGTGCCTCAGCGCTTGCTAACACCGAAGGGTGTCGCAGGTGATCCATTATATACCTCTGGTGGCTCGTGCTGAATTCATGTTTGGAAAACGAACGCTCACGTCAGAGGCTTAGCGGAGAAGTGAGGCTTTAGGGTAGTTATAGGGTTCCAAGTTTCAAGGGTTCAAGTTGAGGTTTTGGGGTTTAAGGCTTAGTGTTGCAGGTTTTGAGATTTCAAGCTTTGGCTGGAGTTACAGGTTTTGAGTTTTCAGGTGGCAGGGTTGAGGGTTTCAGGTTTTAGGTTTAGGGCTTTGGGTTTCAGGTTTTGGGGTCTCGGAGTTTAGGGTAAACCCTGAACCCTAAACCTTTTAGGGACAAGAGGCTACATACTGCGGGGGGTGTTGTTGCGGTTCGTACATTCAGGTCGTGCTCCCGCCGCTGACGCGGCCCTCACAACCATCGCATCGTTCCTGGAGGACCTGCTGTTGGATATGTTTCATAGGTTAGGGCTTAAAATCTAGGGTAGAGGTTTAGGGGCTTTCTGGGATTAGGGTTTAGGGGTCGTAGGTCTTCAGGTCCTGCTTTGAAGTGACAGCACTACTCACACGCGCCGTGCTTGTGGGTTGCTGGTTAGAGCTGAAGCATTGCCGCGTCTGGACAGGAGCCCGCTCGCGGAAGGCAAGGAGAAAAAATGCCCAAAGCGAGGAGAGCTTGCCCTAAACCCTAAATGGCCATAAACCCGAAACCCGAAACCCTAAACCCTAAACCCCAAGCCCGAAACCCTAAACCTTTCAAACCAACCCGAGACTCTGACTTCGCAACACAAAAATTCCTAGAACCCTGAAGCCCTGAACTTAATTCAACTTTCTAAAACCCTAAAGCCCTAAAGCCCTGAAGCATACAAGAACCATAAAGCCCCAAAGCCCTAAAGAACCCTAAAACCCTAAAGCCC